GTGGCGAGAATACGAAGCAAATGTGGGAGGTGGTAGAAGTGTGCTGTGGCCACTGGAACACGCCAGTTTTGGCAGATGTCATTATGGGTTGATCGCATGGTAGTGGAGTGGAGGTGGATGCAGTCCGAGCCTTTGGGCGTGGGCAAAGTAGACTTCACTCACCTCGTCGATGTCAGCATTCCACGGTTGTGACGAGGATAACACTGCGATTGTAGTCACCGTGGTGTGCTAGTTAGTTGGAGACTGACGTGGCGAAGGGAAGGCGGAGCAAAAGATGGTCCACTCTACCTCCACTTTGAACGGCTCGCCTCCCTGCTTTGACAGTCGTGCCAACACGAACTGCTTGCAAGCACTCTTTGCCACTTCACCGTAGAAAAGACAACGCCGAAAGTTGGGAGCACAGAGGAAATCGCGGATACAGACAAAAGAGTTGAAACACTGACCACTTGTGAGTCTGCCTTTGTCATTACCACCTGCAACTCCGCCCATTCCTCCTACCGCTGGCATTTCCTGCCACACCTTATCCACACACATTGGACCACCGACTTTGGATTCTCACCGTCCTCCCACTGTAATGCGATGTCTCTAATGAAATGACAACTCTTTTACGTAGCCGGAGAAGGAGGGAGCGCTGCCACGACTAGCGGATCTGCGGTGGTCTCCACGGTTGCGGCGATTCTCGCTGTCTGCGCGGCGACAGCATTGGCCTGAAGTTTTGCGTAGGTTGCTGCTGTTTAACTGGTCCCTCTTTCCTCCATGTGTGCTGACCAACCGAACACTTTCGCCTTGCAGGCATCCAGCGCGAAGACCTACTTCCACTTGTCCTCGCCCAACAACAACAACAACAACAACAGTGCAGCCGTCCTTTGTGGGGATTCAGTGTGAAGCTAATGCATTCATTTGTCACTCGCTAATACAATTCGACAGTGTGTGTGTTCCAACTTTTGCCTACATTACGTCGTCTACTTTAAGTGGGTGGTTAAGAAGAGAGGGCGGGAGGAAGGGTGAAGGGGGAAGGGGAGACACGAGGTGACGTTGTTGCCATTATAGCAGCTTCA